CAGGGAACAACCCAGGATGGGGCGCCAACCCATCGCAGCGCACAAGGCGGAGAACAACCCAGGATGGGGCGCCAACCCATCACAGGGCACACTCACACACCATACACTCACACACCATTCACACACACACATACCTGTGGGCAATTTGGTAACTCCAATTACCCCCAGCATGACTGTGGGGGGAAATAGGAGTCCCCGGGGGAAACCCCACGATGACACGGCAGGACATGTGAACCCCACACACATGGAACCCTGGCGGAGACTCGAACCCAGGTCCCAGAGGCCACCCCGCATGTAGAACTTATTTCCCTGTTTGTATATCCTTTAAATTACTAATTTCATAGTAAGCACTACTTATATGCTATAATGTGTAGCTCTTCAGCCTGAATCATGTGTGTGACACAGCTGAGCATTCTAGAACTGCCATTCAGTGTCGTGGAACCACAACTGTTCCGTTCTGTGACTAAGATGACAGTTCAGGCCTTTTAAAAACAACGCCCCACACCTCATTATTCATTCTTCCCCTGGTCAGAGATTTATAAAATCAATTATGGGATCTTGTGGGGAGCAATGTTCTCACAGACACTAAACAAGTGTTGTGGAAAGTACTGCCATTAATGAGCAAAACTCGGGGTTACAAGGCAATTATCTGTGCGATCAATCATCGTTTCCGAGGTCTAGATGCTCAACACGACCTGGAAAACATGCAGTCTCCCATCTTAATAGGTGCAATTTCACCGGATGCATTACATAACCTCAACGATTGCAACAATATTTACACCACAGAAAGCTTTTATCCATCTGCATGTGACCAAATTAATTTGCTACTTAAAATATGACATGAAACACATTCATTAAAAACAGGTCAATTTCCATATTAAAAACTACTTGTCCACATATGACAATATGGGCACAGAGTTGCTTGAATAATACAAGTCTCATTTTTCCCTTCGCTCTATAAAGTATTATTTCTTATTTTAAAAGACTTTCCTAGTCCACGCACTAAATATAAACCTTAGAAGGGCAACAATCTATGACATTCAAATCTACTGTTAGACATTCTTTTCCTCATAGCCGGACACCTATGCCTGCTCAAAGTAAATCTTACCGAGCGCTCACTTCATTTGAAATTCCAGTGGCGTCCAGCAGGCGCAGGTTGTAATTAAGTGATGGTAAATTAAAACTTGCTAAAGTCACTCGCTGGAGTGTCGGCTCACTTGGTAAATGACATGCAAGGCCTGACTAATTCTCACAGAACCTCTGTGGATTTTTAGCTCATGGCAGAAAGCATTGGCTAGTGTTGGATGTGCATATAAGGTCATGTGACTGGGAGTGGCAGAAGGCGGAGCCATGGAACTAATTAAATGGAAACGTCCCGTTTCTCAAAAGGCTCGGAGAGGAATCAGATGCTTGCAGGATTCCCTCAAATCGGCACGTCCCGCGAAAGCAGCTTGCGCTGGTACACCCGCTGGCAATGCTTTCAAATAGAATGATGCAACAAATAAGCAATTGCTTATCGCAACTTATTTAGCTAGTGTACTTAACAATGTGGCTGTGTGAAATCGCTCCATTATGTGTTTGTCAGATAACACGAACCTAGTTGTTTATCAATCGCATCTGCACCCCACCCTGCATAAATTTATTTGTTTAGCGCCAATCAAACATAGTGCAGAATGGAACAGAGGGTGATTCTTTAAACTCAAGCTCGAAATTCGAGATGGAAAAATCACGTGGAATCTGCCTCTTTAAGGATAAGAACACAGCAAAAGATAACCAGCTTTGAACTGAATGCCCTGACGGGGGAATGTAGCAAGGAAAAAAAACCTCAAATGATGTGCTGAACATAATAAAAATTTTAATAATACAAGAGCCATTCTCTGTCTTCCGAATAATCCTGCAAACATCCTGTCTCTAGACCCAGCTGATAGTATTAGTGTAGAATATTAATTTAAAATGAATACACCCATCCATACAGCAGCGAGTACAGTAATTGTTATTTAAAATATGCTAAATAATAGATCAGTTAGTTGAGAATTTGTGTGCCGCGTTCCTTTCCTGTCACCGCTGCATAGGTCGATATAATTAAGATTTATTGCTTGCTGATTTCCTTCTATCCTGTTGACTGTCTCGTCTTGGCTGACGCAACTCAAAGCCAAAGCCATTGGTACAGGCCCGGATGTTTACCCTGAGTCTGCTTTTATCCCAGGCCATTTGCTTAAAACGGCACCGAGGAAGATGCCAGATAAATATGATTGCTTCGCAAATTCTCCTGTGATGCCCAGGCTCCTGGCACGGTGACAAGATCAATACACTCAAAGTAGAAATCAAACTTGGCTACTCTTACCGAAACATTCCTCCTCGAAGCGTTTCACCTCCAGTCATGGGTTTGGCTTGAGTCACTTCGGAATTAGCCCTTGACTGGTGTCAGGCCCGCATCGACTTTCTGATTGGTTGCTTTTCCCTGTCGTCCGGCACATTCCCCAGAATTAGCTAGCTGGCTGGCTGATTTGTACATTAAAGCTAGCCTTGGCCCACCCCAAGGCTGGGTAACCCCAAACACCCCGCTCCCCAACCCCCTGGAGAATGCTGTGGCCCAGCCTGCATCTCAGAGCTGGAACAGGTCATATTTTAAAGGTGACATTGCAGCTAGATCGCGAGGATGTCCCCTTCCATTTTTTCCTTGATTGATTACACGTACCGAAACCCGAGCATGGGTCTGTGTTCACTGGATGTTAACTTTGTATCTGCAGCATAAAGACAGCATCACCAAAACCAAGAGTCATAGTCGGTTACTTGGCCATGAATGTGCTAAAAGGATAACGGGCTTTTCCGAAGTCGGTAGCATGGAAGCGTGGGTGTATTGCGCAGTGGATATCCTGACAAAAGGTACACAAGGAGGCACAGACGGCGTGACCCACCCCCGGGAAAATTCAGGTTCAAATAAGAAGCAAGTATGGAACTAACCATGAAGGGAATGAGCAAAAACACTACCATCAACAACAACAACATCAACAACAATAACAACAACAAACTCTGGGCTTACTATAACCCTATACTGGAAAAACATGAATTTATGAAAAATTGATTTATGGATACTATAATAGTAAAAATGTTTTTTGTCGGGTCAGGGTTTTGTTCACTGGCATCTGCTGCAACATTTTGTTTGTAGAAGCAGCCCGAATCTGGGGGGGGGTGGGCTGAAGCAGCATTATCTCAGCCGTGTGTGTCCCGCGCACTCCCAGCCGCGCCCCCCCGAGGAGGCCCCGACCCTCTGCTGATGAACAGTTACGGCACGCCTCTCCTCTGTCTATCAGTTTGGGGGGTTTGCTGGGTGCTCCTGTCTGGTGGTGGTGTGGCTGATGGGCTGCCAGTGGAGCAGAAAGGACCGCGGAGGCTGGCTGCTTTCCAGAGACGTGACGGCCTGATTTCATTTTCAGGGCGAGGCGATGAAAGCCCAGCCCTGGGCACACAGTAAGTCTGAGCTGACATTTTCCCCTGGTTGACACACATGCGATGAGACAGCTGTTTGTGCGACAGGGGTATATACAGGGGTGGGGCCACAGAGGCAATAGCCCCCAACTGAAAGCTGATTGGCCCACTCCACGGTCACTCAACAATTCAAAATATACCATTGGTTGGCCCCACTCTATTAATTATGGCCTCTTTTATGCCCCTCCTGTCACCTTAAAAAAATCCTAGAATCACCCCTGTTGTGGGACTTCAAAGGACGTTTCCCACGTTGTAACCGTTCCTGCGCCCCGAAGCGTCATGGCGACTTATTTAATTAAAACTGGTGGCCCACGGGTCACTGTTTACTAATGGAAAAGCGAATGAATTAATTGCTTGTGACCCCTCCCCCAACTTGTACAATTGGCTGGCAAACCTGGCACAAGAGCCGCGATTCTGTCCTCCAATCTGGGTGGCGCTTTGTTCTTAAAAGTGAGCCGGCTAATTACAAATACGATGCAGCTCACATGTGACGGGCTTCAGCGAAGAGGCCAGCAACGACGTCTGACTGAGTATTTAATCTGAAAAGTTCAGGCTGGATGCAGATATTACGCTAAAGGAGTGAACAGGAAAGCAGTGGAGCGGAACAGGAAGGGGCCTCCATTTTTGGACGGGATTCACGTAGCTCGGGAGAAACATATGCCGATGAAGCGGCCTCGCTTAAAATGCTTTCATCTCGCACGTGTCCTACTTTCAGTGCCCCCCCCCCCATTCCCCCTGCATGGGAAAAGGGATCATGGGAAATGAGGCCATGCTGGGAGACTCGCCGAGCTTCAGACGTGCAGCATGGTCACGTACCGGCTGCCTGGGCCCGCATTTTCACGGCTGTGATCCCCATGCAGTGAAAAATGCAACCTGGTGCTTCGGCAAACAGGCTGAGGGGTTGATCAGACCATTGTACTTACATTTTGTGTCCCACCCCCAAATATCAAACTCTCACCTATGTAGTTGACCTTGTTCTTGCAAACAGTGATGGGAGGGGGGGTTGACCACTGGAAAAAAAAAAATCATATTAAATAACAATATTAGATCATTAGTGACAATGATAATACTAATAATATTAGTCTGTATGGTAATACTTTACTTCAGGGGGCACAATACTTAGTACCAACTCACCACTGCACGAACAATTCTAGTAGCTACTTAAGATAAAAGATGCTTCATGATTTATTAATGATGAACGAACATGACATCAGTATGTAACTAAGACTTAGTTTGTGAATAATTAATACATAAGTAATAGCGGAATAATACATTATTTGTGCCCCGTGAAGTGTTACCGCCTGTATAAATGATTTGATTAAGTTTCCCCTAAACTCCTGTATATACTACAGGCTGAAATATAATGATACATATAAAAGTGACAGAATATTATCGCACAAATGGGCCGCACATAAACACTGCCGGGGAACAATCGCATCATTACAGTTTTTTCCGATGTATTATGACATTGCTAACATTAGTAAACCTTTTAAGTGTGTCTGGCAATTTCCAAAAATACCTCAGCGCAGTTACAAATCCGCCTAGTTTTCAGTTACAGTTGTACATCCCACTACTACGCTATATAAACTCCGAAAAGGAGGCTAGGCCTGTATTTTGATAATAGGCAATGTCAGCCATTAAACTATATAAACACATTCATAGGCGGTTTTAGATTCTATAAAGGGGGGAGGCTTCAGCCATACTATTTCTTTTTACGTTTCCAGATCCATTTAGCAATTCGACCCGTATTTTCGTATACAGGCATCGTGGGTGGCGTCCCGTGCTTCTTTTTCTCGGTGGTCGAGTCCCTCTTGGGCTCAAATCCCACAATTAACCAGTCCCACATACGCAGTTGTGTAGCTTTATGCATGTATGCAAACGCTAGCACGATCCGCAGATATCACACAGGAAAGGGATTTACCTTTTAAAATGTAATTTCACGTCATTCTTTCTCCTATTGTTGGGCGATATCCGAACTGTGTATGGTGAAATTGTCCCAGCTCTGCACGTCCGCAAATACATTTTCGTATTAAGCAACAACGTCAGCTGTATTATCTGAAAAGTTAAAGGGGAGCCCATAATCCTCTCAAAGGACAAATTTCCCGCTGTGTTATTACTTTGAAACGGCTCTTAAAAATGAAGAACAGACAGAATTATTAAGCTAGCATACTAGTGTAGAGAGTTAAGCCATATAGTGAATTTAAAACTTCGGACTACGGAGGACTCGCAGGATCGCAGTCATACACATTAATGGATCTCATCTACTACTGTGTGTCAAAACGCTTGGCAAAGGTCTGAAAATGGAGTTTTGGGAAACTGTGCTGGAGAGCGGCTCGGGGTGAAGGCCTTCGCATCAATGCAGCCCACGCGAAAACTAGCGGCGCGCGTCATCGACGCGCATCGGCGGCGCGCAGGCGGTCTGGAGAAGCTCCTACCGCATTCGTTGCCATGTCAGCATTTCATTAATACAAGCAGCACACAAAACAGCAATGGGATTTATAAATAGGAAAATGTTGTTTAAAACATTTTTCCTTCCGCAGCAATAAACAACCATGTATACATCTCACTGATAAGATAATGAAATAGGAGTAGATTCCGTGTTTTTGTTTATAATAATAATAATAATAATAATAATAATAATAATGTTTTTGGTTCTCTGTGGTTGGGAAATCTATGTGATTGAGCCTGCAAATTTATTTGTCAGGGTGTTCTGCTGCATTCCTGTCCAGTACCTGTGGTTTTATTTACTGCAGGATGGCCAAGAAAATTTTTGCTTGTTAAAGTATTTTTTGTTTACATTATTAGATGAAGCCGCGACCCTCGCCAGGAGAAGCGGTGGGAGAATGATGGTGATTAGGATTATTCGATGAATCACAGGCACACACAAACATTTATAACTTAATATTCCACCCGCCTGCCACTAATTCAGTAGGGTCACAAAAAACATGGAGCCTATCCTATGTAGTGTATATGCACACTGTGGACAATTTAGCGATGCCAATTAGTCTGAGATATGAAGACGCACCGCTTTACTGTTACCAACCGCATTGTAACTTATATTCATCTTGTAAGAACATTCGCAATCATGCCAAATTCAATTCAGCAATGTGGCAAAAAAACTGAATACTGCAAGTCATTTAATATTTAAGGGGGCATCTGACATGAAGGGGAAAAAGCGGAGCGGCTCATGCACCCAGAAGGTGTGGCAATTTAGTACTGTTCCAGGTTCATGCAGTTCTCTTGTTTAACTTGACTTTAGCATCAGATCGAAAATGGTCCTTTTATCGAAAGTGTTTTTCCTGCTTTTTCTTCTCGCGTTCCGCTGGGGTAAAAATGAAAAAAAAAAAACGAACTGTGCGTGAAGCATGATTGCATTTAAATTTTGAATTTATCTGCCTCATAGTCATTATTATGAGAGCTTCATATTTTTTGTCTTAATAGTTATTCAGTTCACACTCCGACAGGCAGCTCAAAAGAGTGATGTACGAGCAATCATAAAACCCGACGTCCGTGTTTTAAGAAGTGTACAGGAAAGGTAACGGTGACGTAAGATCGCGGAAGGACCTAAACACGCCAGGCCGGGGCTAAGCCAGGTCACCATCCTATCATCCAGACTTCCGTTTATCGCCCCCTAAAGACGAGAACAGGCACCCAAACCTTGTGACCCCATTTGCAGATGATAAACAGGGGCGGGGCCACAGAGGGACTGCCCCATCTGAAAGCTGATTGGCCCACAGAGTGCCCTCTCCCCTGTCACTCACCGATTCAAAACATATTATTAGCTAATGATAAGTTTAGCCACTCTGCATGAATCATCTCCCCTTTAATGTCCCCCACCTAAAAATCACTTAGAATCGTCCGTTTTTCCTCCAGAGCCTAAGGGGCTGACTTCCATGTTTTTCCCACAGCCTGTTCCAGTCCGTTCTCCCTTCGCTGTGTCACTTCGATTCATTCATGGTTGCTTCTCTGCCACTAGCAAGTCGTGGTACCGGATGGTCGTATGGCCCCGGATCCCTGTTCTGCCGATGCAGACGGGAACCCGCGAGACACGCAGGTGAGTTTCACAGCCTTCCTGACCTGAACAGCGACGCAGGTCGTGTCCTTTTGACCTTGCATGGTACTCCCTGTGCCCAAAGGCACTGAGGAGACATGCTTCAGTGGGGGGTTTTTAAGGGAGGGAGGTGAGGTTAGGGAGGGACATTTAGCGCGCTCATTTGTACAAAGCCAAGGGTAAAATCACCATAATCTCCATGAGCAGATTTGGGTCACGTTAAGGAGGAGTGCTTAAACAGTTCTGAAGGTCAATGTCCTTTCTACTCTGCAGCTATTGCTGCTTTGGTAGATGATATCAACAGTCTCTGCCACCTCCATCTGCCTGTCTGAAGTACCTTTTATAATAATCGTGCTAATTCCCACTATTCTACATGCTCTGTGCCCTTAATGATACAGGCATTTAGAGAACAGCTTGCTTATTTTTCCCCTCTCTGTCCCCCAAAGACGATCACTGTCATATACAGCCCCCCTCCCCGGGGTCTCATGACATGGGAGGGTTGTGGGGGTGCTGCTGGTGACGCTTGCTCCATAGGTAACCACTTTTGAGATTGAACCCGGGAGATGGGGGGATAGGCAGATGATAATTGCCTTCCGGCTTCACCGGCCGGGTCGCTCCGTTACTCCTCTTCTCCTCCTGGCAACGTTTTAATAGGACTTTGTGAGAGGCGACAAAGGAAGCCCTTTGAAATATAAAGCGATGTCGATTTTGGGAGCGCTGCACTCCGATTGGCTGGTAGGATTCCAAAAATGGCTGCCGGGCCCTTAGCGATAAATGCACCATCGCCTGAGGGAGTGAGGGCAGGCTTGCGCTATGCCACACGGCATTAGACAGGATTCCCGCTCAAAACACGACACCGGAGGTTTAATGAGGTGACATGTCGCATGGTGAATACGAGCAACTTAAAAGCTGCCAATTGTAGTAGGTACAACTTCCCAGGGATTTTCATTCATCCATCTAGGCATTCATTCATCTATCTATCCCTATTCCATAGCTGCTTATCCAGTGCAGGGTCACACTGCATTCTGGGATTTGCTATTGTTTGTTGTTATCTTGAGTGTTGCATACACAAACAGTGCTCTCGCTGGCATTGATAATCATTGGCAGTTTTCAGAACAGAAACAGGAAGGACCTTGCTCACGCCCTGCGCAGGGGGATTCCGGCTTGTGTTGTGCAAAGTACGTAACGGCACTATGAAATTAGAGTAACAAAATTTAGCCAAACTGAAAAGGATTAGGTGACCTCACACCTCCGTGGTTGGGGGCTCGATTGCGTCCCCTAGCTCTGTGCATGTGTGTAGTTTTCATGTTTTCACCCAATGAGGTTGGGTGTCTCTAAGTTGTCTTTACCATGTGTGCAATAAACCAGTGGGTCCTGCCTTGTTCTTATGGGGACTGGCTCTTGTACCATGACTACCCTGTCCTAGATGGATGAGTAATAACACATTACGTTTATTTAGTCGACGCTTTTATCCAAAGCAATGTCCAATTGAGAAGGCAGGGGCAGACAGTCTCTGAAGCAACTGGGGACTAAGGGCCTCGATCAAGTGCCCAACGTTAAAATCACGGGATTTGAATTGGCGACCTTCCGATCACAGACACAACATCATAACCCACACCCCGCCCCTCATACATTTATCAATTTATGCGTTTACAATACAGTTACAATACAGTTACAATACAGTTATCATGGCACACATCACAGTACAAAAAAAAAAAAACCGCATTTCGAAAATGGTTCTGGGTTTATTACTTATGATATTTAAAATGTAGTAGAAGCCATTTTCTCTGGATGAGATGATATGTGATTTAGGTGAGAGCGTGGAAAGAGACGTGAAGGGTGATCTTTAAAAACGAGTCATAAAAATCAAACGTCTCGAAGAGTAAAGTGTTATAATTAATGCTGACAGCGGTGCTATAGTTTCTCTGGTGGGTGTTTGATGTGGAACAACTCGCTTTGTTACAATGGCAAGCAGAAACGGCTGAAATCTCCATGTATCTTTGGGCTGTCTGCGGAGTCGCATTTTCATGTGCCAAGTTTTGTCAGATATGAATAAAGTCGCCAGCACTGGAAAAATCTCAGCGATGCAGGGTGTCGTGGAGGTATAAAATTATATAAGACTATAGAATGACTCGAAGAGGAAGTTAGTATTTTTAGCATCAGTGCACAGTACTCCTGGTACTGCAATGGAGAATGGCACTCTGTAAGATCAAACTAATGTATAAATACATTTTCTAATGAAAAATGATTTTCAGTCTCCGTATATATATGTTGAATGAATTTGTTGTGTCGTCTATCTGTTTTTGTGTCGCGGCTTAGCAAACGTTGAGTCGGATCGGGCCTGTTTTCGGACGACTGCTGTTTATTTGGTGTCGACGACAGGCGCACCTGTGCCGTTTTCCATGAGGTGGCATCTTGCGCCATCAACAGCTGACCTGCCAACGGTGATCAACTGGAAGCTGTCACTTTTTTTTCTAAGTACGGACACGTAACAGTACCGGCAGCGGTTATAGCCGCAGAGGCAGCCACACAGAGAAGCTTCCGGAAGCTATTCGGCATCTGTTAGGCCAGAAGCGCGTTCCTCCTACATGCCAGCCTCGGGGCGGCTAGTGGGCAACTTTCTGCGGAGCGGCCGGACCTCGCCGGTTCATTCGCAGCCGATCCAGCTCCCCTTCAATGCACCTTTTCCCCTTTCCCATAGTTTATGTAACTGAATACCGCAGCCCAGTCAGAGTCGGTGTCAGAGATTGGCTCAACACAGCGGCTCTGTCCTGACATTTTTTTTTTCTGTGGGGGGGGGTGGTTATTAAAATTACATGGTTCCGGTTGCTGACTCCCCACAAGCAGGCTTATACAGAATAAGTATAGGGTGTCTTGGGATTTGTGCCGATATGTGGCCGCATTGACGAGCGGGATCTCCTCTAGTAGGTAGCTGCTACTAGCATGGGAATTGTGCTCTGGGAGGGAGGGAGATAAATCAGCCAGGCATGCCTATCATACTGGGCTGTCAAACAAGCCCTGGAGAGCTGGGTAACAGCATAAGGAAGGGGTTAAGCGCCGAGCATAGAGGCCAAATCTCCCATTACGATCAAAGAGCAAAATCCGACACACATTCCAACAGGGAAGCTGTTGTTTACGGGGCCACGTCCATACTGATGTGTTTAATACTTCGCTAATCCCCAGCATAGATATACAATATATGCTGCGGAGCCTCGCTAATACAAATACAATTTAAAAAGAGAAGGAAGTGGTATAA